TCGCCAAACTCTAATGAAACACACGATATGTAGTGACAGTCGCCCGGCCAGTGATGTTGTAATATATGACAGACACAAATGAGAATAAATGTGTTGAGCCTATCGTTTCAAACAATTTTAAATTTCAAATTTTCTTTGTATTGTATGTGTCTGTCAAAGGATTTTCGATTCAATGCAAAATCAATATTAAGAGAGAGGGAGGAGAGAGAGAGTGAGAGAGAGAGAGAGAGAGAGAGAGCTCTAAGAGTAGTCAGAATTTCAAGGTCTCAATCATTTTGGCATCGCTTTCGTTATTATTTCCTATTAAACGTTCACTAGTTTTGCAATTAAAGTCTCCCATAATGTAAGGAAATACGATATCAATATTGATATGAGAATTGCTTTTATTATGATTTATACGGAAAATGGCGATTAAACACATATTCTGTAAATAATGGCATAATTCTGTTGAAGTATTAATTGATTAGAAACTCGATTCTAATGCACTAATGGATATTACTTGATATGAATGTTGGCATATAACTTTTCATGGCAAATACTTATTTTTGTATTTTGTATTATAATTTTAATGCTTTAGATGTTTAAATATTTTATACTTAATTATAGTTTTAAACATAGCATTACCTATATTCTCGTACAAATTCTTTATGAAATAATGTTTAATTAATATTTAATTATATATTGTACTAGTCTTATGATAAGACTAATACTTGATTATAGATTATTAGTAAGTTATTAAATAACCTTGTGATTGTAACAGGCACATTTCGCGATTCCTATATACCAACGATTGAGGACACGTACAGACAAGTGATTTCTTGCAATAAGAATGTCTGTACCCTACAGATCACCGACACTACCGGTTCCCATCAATTTCCAGCTATGCAAAGGCTTAACATAACCAAAGGTCACGCGTTTATGTTAGTCTATAGGTATGGCCAGACACATTACATTCATGATAATTATACATACAGTCACCTCCAGATATAGTGAACCATTTAATAAATTTACTAATAATGCAGAGAATTTGAAAGTTATTTGAATAAATTCAATATATGATTATAGGTTACTTGCTAGTACTGTATATTCTGGGTAAAATGTAATATAGTAAATACATTTGAATGACATTTAAACACAAAAACTTATGAAAAATCTAATAATTGATTGTTATATCCAAAGCATAACATCAAAGCAAAGTCTGGAAGAGTTAATACCGACGTATCGGGAGATCATAGAAGTGAAGGCCGGGGAGGAGAACCTCCCGATTATGTTAGTGGGAAACAAGTCCGATGAGGACAACCAGAGGGAAGTCAATCATAGCAAAGTCTGGAAGAGTTAATACCGACGTATCGGGAGATCATAGAAGTGAAGGCCGGGGAGGAGAACCTCCCGATTATGTTAGTGGGAAACAAGTCCGATGAGGACAACCAGAGGGAAGTCAATCAGGAATACGCCAACGAAATGGTCTCTAAGATATTGAAGGGCTGCGGATTCATCGAGACCTCAGCCAAAACCGGACAAAATGTCCATGAGGCATTTCAGGTGAGACATACATACATACCAGTCCCTTTGTACTCAATAAGTCATTTTATACTTTACTATACTGTATACAATATAGTACTTAATAAGTGGTATATTTTGAAATATAATATTATATACAGTATAATATACTATAATATGAATATCATATAACCTGTTATATATTCTATAGTACACTATACACTATAATAGTATTACTATAACTATAACTCGGGAAAAGTATTGAAATTGTTTTGTGCTATTTACACATTATTTATTCATACATTGTTTTGTTTGTTTAAAAAAATTAATTTCAATTTATATCTCTTTTTATAAATGTAATAAGATAAGTTATTCATAAAACAATTTTTATTTAAAAAAATATCACATATAAAGTATATGAAATAGGAATTACCTAAGCTAGAGTATTTATTATTTATTTTATAGTTACGTAAACATTGAGAGCAAATAGAAAATAATTTGAACTAAATCTTTGGAAAAACATGAAATTATATTTTAATGACTGTTAGTATGTTTTTGAACATTTGGGTGAATTATTTGCGAAAATATAAATTGAATCTATATAAGTTATCAAGTATTATGAATTTGTGCGATATTTTCTTTATTTAATGAGGGATTAAATTTTAAATTAGTTTTTTTTATCTAGGTATTAGGCATGCATTTGCTTTTAAATCAATTATAGCAAACAAAATAAATAATTTAAATCCAATTAAAATACATGAGGAAAAAAATAACTCATAAATGCTAACTAATATCAGTGTCACTAATATTATATATCTGTCCCGTCGGGCACCGGTAGGAGTTGTTATCACTGGACAAAAGTCGGAATATGTCTCTACGAATGGACCTCAAGAAAACTCGGTCGCAGATTAGGAAAGAGAAATTAAAGGGACATTGCTCACTTATGTAGTAGTAGTGCCCCACATACCCGCCCCCAACACACAACTACACACAACCACACCATCGCAGCCACACTGACGCTGTTGTGGACACACATACGTGACGGACATCTCAGGCCAGAAGTGGTGGTCATCTGAACAACACTACTGTCTCTCTCTATTTGTCTCTACCATTGCGTAATCAATAAAAACAATTTCAGTCTTTGATTGAATCGTGTGATCGGAAATAGCAAAGTATTATCGATATTTCCACCGAAAATGGGATGACATGTAATGTTCATACAGTTACAAACAAATATAACATACCATACATACAATAGCTTGACACCTAAAATGTTATGAATATTTTATGCAAACAGAATGTATGTATATATATAGATATATATGTTATTCTGTGTTATTCTAATCTATTTAACAAAATCTAATGAATTATATATAATGAGAGGTATGACTGGTATTGCGAAATCTATTAATAGTGTTATTTCTCGTCGATTACGTTTGAAATATATTGATTTCTATCTATATTTAAGTGCTTTTCACTCATTTGTTACATTCATTTGCTAATCAAATAAATGAACACAAAAATAACAATTCGATAGAAAATACTAAGTCTTCAACAAAATACAGTCAAAAGTCTGAGCTCTCAATGGATTTTGAACAGACACTGAAGGCTTTAATTGTTTCGTACGATTAGTGAGAAATTTATATAATTTTAGCAGTATATATACATTTAATGAATTAATTTATTGAATTATTAGTGAACAAAAATAAGTTTGCTCGAACAACTAACACTGTATAAATAAGTATATAGTTTATATAGATTTGTTCAACACACAATCAAAACCATTATTTTTTAAAATGATTTTTTAGATATAAATTCTACTTTAAATCCAAAACAACTTTAACTATAAATACAATTATAAACCTTTCCGATAAAAAACATAAATCACATTCAACTCCAAATACAACGAAAATGCTAAAACACGTCATGAAATCCTGTATATATATCCAGACATACAAATCGATTACTACTTTATATAATTCATATCAAGCAAAAAGCCATTAAGCCAATTTTGACCGGGGATTATATGGTGGGCGCAAACAACTACCTGTGCGTTTGAATCAATATTTTCTAATCAAAAGCAATTAGAGATAAACGATAAATACATCTAAAAGTCTTGTCTGAATATATTACGATATTTATGCCGCGATTCCCAATACCAGTAGTACTTGTATGAACACAAACACTATCTCTCAATATGTATATTAAATAAGAAAATATATAAATTAATATTTAATTTATAAATATATCTATAGATATCAATTATATACATATAGGGTATACAAGTTATACATAATATATAACTTCATGGTTCGGGTATTATAGAGAAATAATGTCTGGAAATGTATGATTTTCTATAAGTCCTGAACAAGCATTTACTCACGCAATCAATCATTACATCAAAATACATCAAAATTATTGTTATATTTTCCAAAAGTTTATTACATTTATCTCAGACTTGCTTTTGCTTTCACTTGTATGCGTGCATCAGATCTCTCAATATTTCATAACTAGCTTTTACCTGGCTAATATTAAGTGAACCAGATAATAGAGTCTAGGCACCAAATTATCAGAGTAACTTATATTTTTGAATAATTTTTTAAACAAATGTCGGCATAAATACTAATTTGTAAAATCACTCGACGTTTATATTATAGTGAAAAACACAATATTAGCTAATTTTGTAAAACCAAACGGTGATGGGAAAGGGAGCTTAGGTTTGTCGCTATAAATTATATCAGTTCATTCATATGGAAAGTTTGCCATTTGATGCCATGCATGGCATACCTGTGCGCTTACGTATAGAGTATACAATGCATTCGCAGTCCTAAGTAGAGGTGAGGGGAGAGGGAAAGGGATGAGAAATGTGGAAAATTTTTCAAATTATTTTTATAGCCAGTTATGAACAATAGTAGAAATGCTAAGAATTATTCAGAAACATAGGATTCTGTACTCTATTTCTGATGCTATTCTGTATATTCTGTAGTATTCTGTATATTCTGTAGTATTCTGTATATTCTGTGTACAGAATAGCTCTCAATATAATTGTATGGCTTTTGTGAGTGAATCCTGCAATCAATAAAGTACTAGTTTATAAAATATTCAGAAATCTGTCGCACAATACAAAACTAACAAAGAAAATGTACAATCAGTTAATTATTTCGGGGAAAATATATACATTATATATAAATATCAGAGAAAACTCATATAAAAATATAAGATATTTAATTGATTGTTAAGCTTTGGGTTGATTTTATAATATACAGTGACATATAAATACACCAATATTGATTAATTTAAAATTTTATTTTTTTAAATAGCTTTAATCATCACTACTACTACTGTGAGCTTAGAAATCAGTACATATAGTATTATACGATATACTAAATTGTGTATATATTTCTGAAAACATATGTTTGACATAAAAATACATATAAACTAATTTCAATTACAAGATCTCATTGATTATAAACTCATCAGGAACAATTGATTAAACACGGATCCTAATGTTTTTGTTATTTAAGGGTTATTTGTTTGTAATATTAGTTTTGGTTATTTATTTCCAAACTAATCAAGATGACTTTAATTATTAGCCGAATTACAAATTAATTATTTAACAATAAAAAGCAAACAAAATACACACAAAAAACATACAATAAGTCTAATGAACTAATTTGGTAAAAATTACTAGACTTTTTATGAACCGGGATAATTGTTTATATGTATGCTATGGTTGCTATTTATTAATATTATATGAATTCTATTTAATTGTAAATTATATTTAAAAAGTTATTATTATTATTATATTTACAAAGCGTTTACTTTTACCGAGACAAACATCTGTTAAATAATTGTTTGGATAAGAATTGACCATGTTAATTCTTACGAAGATTTTTAATGATTAAATCACATTTGAATGAGAATTATATAAACGGTTTTGATTAACGATTGTATAATAAACTAATCAAACAATATTTCAGATAAAAAACAGAAAATATCTATAAATATGTTATTTACCAATAAATCTAACATAACATTTAATTATATTTTAAATTTCATATAATTAATTAATGAGAATATATATATAAAGTTTACATATAAAAGTGTTTATTTAAAAATTGGACACAATTTTTAAAAAACTGTTTTCAATTTATAATAGATTATAAAATGAGTTGTATAGAAAAGTGCATTAAAAACTGATAAATTAATTGAAAACTCTATAAAAATTGCTTGTTTATTTATTTTAATTATATTCTATTTGGCCTTTAACATTTAACTTACAGTCCTACTTAAATTTAAAAAAATATTTACTGTATATAAATGAAAATTAATATTTATTTCAGACTATAAAATAACATTTGGCATTTAGCAATTATATTATCTATATAAGAAGCCATATAGAAAATGATATTAATAAGATTATTAAAATCGTGATATTACTAGAGAAAATTATTCAAGATACTAGTAAACAATTTTCGTGGTTAGTAACAGAATATTAAATTCTATACAGAATTCTGAATTTAATACTTTATAATAAGTAGATAAATAAAACATAAGAGACATCTAGTACTAATAATATGAAATAATTATGTACTGAACTGAATATAACACAGAATCTATGAAAGCAAAACTTTAAGATAAGTTATACAAAAAATTGTTAATTGAGAAATAGGTTTTTAATATACAGTATATTATATACTGTACTTGCTGATTGAAAACATTTACTCGAGCTCTTACTCGCTAGTATAAAATCAAAGGATTAATAGTTGTATAATAAGACACATATTATCATCATTGTCATTACTTCAAAGCAACAGACACACTTTTAACTGAAATATGAGCAAATAAATGACAAATAAATCAACACAAGTTTCATTAATAATAAAATTTTATTTATTTTTAAACAATTATAAAATTTGTTGTCAAATATAATTAATAATACAAATTAACAAATGATTTCTCATATAATATATAATTCGAGTTCAAGAATATTCTTGACTTTGAATTCTGAATTTAATACTTTATAATAAGTAGATAAATAAAACATAAGAGACATCTAGTACTAATAATATGAAATAATTATGTACTGAACTGAATATAACACAGAATCTATGAAAGCAAAACTTTAACAAAAGTTATACCGGTAAGTTTTAACTGAAATATGAGCAAATAAATGACAAATAAATCAACACAAGTTTAATTAATAATAAAATTTTATTTATTTTTAAACAATTATAAAATTTGTTGTCAAATATAATTAATAATACAAATTAACAAATGATTTCTCATATAATATATAATTCGAGTTCAAGAATATTCTTGACTT